GAACGGAGAGAGAGCAGGAAGAGGCCCAAAGAGGAGGAAATTAAAAAAGAGAAAACTAACAAACATGAAAAAAGCTTTGAGGATAGATTTTTGTGCGTCATCGTCCCAGGAAAAAGGGACGGTAACGAAGTATTTTCGTCGTCATCCTGGTTGATGAACTTAACAACGCCCCATACCTGTCTGTGTCTCTGAAATGGGGGGTCGTTATGAAAGGTTGGTCTTTCATAACAAAGATGGCTTCCTTCACGCCCCTCTCAGACCTCCTGCCTTCTATTCTGGGGTTGAGGGTCTGGATCAGGGTCCTTGGGTGAGAGCCCCACTCACCTACCCCTCCCCAACAGAATCCATTGCTTTCCCATGGTCGGTTCTAGACAGGGCCGACGGGGCCCCTGTAGATCATGTCCTGGCCCCTGTTATGGCCCAATCAGGTGATAAATTCAGAGGGAAATAAGATAGGATCCCAGGTTTCATCTGCTTAATTTTTTTTTCTAAACAAATTTTAAAAAACTGCAGAATTTATGTTTCTCTTGAGTTCTAATTCAGATTTTACAGAAAACGATAATTCTAACTTAAATGACGTCAAAAATATGTAAAATTCCTAAGTTCTGAATGTATGCTGACCTAATAAGACACAGAATTTAAATTAAACCTAATTGAATAGAAATTTCAGCTGATGCAGCTATCTTAATGGGCCCCCGTGAAAACACACTGGCCCCCTCCTGGAGCCCTGGAACATTTGGTCTAGAACCGCCTCTGCTTCTTCCTGTTTCTCTGCATCACAAGCAAAAATATCCCAAACCGGTTCCAAACTGTTTGTCTTCAGGAGTTCTTGATGTTAGCAGAGCGATGAACGTCTGCAGCAGCCATGATAATTCAGGTAAACCTCTGCAGGAATGGGAGGGCCTTAGTAGAGCGAGGAAATACTGACGTAATAAAGCTTTTTTAATGTTTATTTAGTTTTTATCAATATATCTACTCATAGAAAGCGACACTTTTAGGCTGAGTCACTGATGCGGCTGAATCTTCCAGAAAACCAACAGGAAGTCACTTTGTTCAATCCAAACCGTGTCGTTTATTAAGACGTGACAAACCGCCGAGACATGGAGACAGGTCCATGGAGACAGGTCCATGGAGACAGGTCCATGTAATGAGAGCTGAAAGGAGCAGGAAGCCCGCCTTTAGCTGCACCATGTGGATGAGGACTTCCAGATCTGATCTGCAGCCATGTTTATCCTGCTTTTAGAGAACACCATCAACCTGCAGTTTGTTAGAAACCTCTTTATTTCTCCCTCTGCGTTTCTCTTTCAATAAAGCAGCAACAATAAAACCTCCAGTAAATCTTTGTCACCAGCTGATGAAGAGTTACGGAGTCACCAGTGGGAGGAATCATAGTTTCCTGTTCCTCTGGTTCCGTTTGGATCAGAAAAAACCAAAGATGATGTCAGAAAACATAAAGATTCAGATTTTAATAAAAGTTTTGGATGCTGGAAATTCTTCTTGATTTCCTTCCATCCATCCATCCATCCATCCATCCATCCATCCATCCATCCATCCATCCATCCATCC